AGTTTGGCTCTGTCCCCTACGCCTCTTCCACCGGAGCCAGGACGCGTTACTGGTTCTGCTGGCACATCTCCCCAGCCCGCTTCACCACTCGTGACTTTAAGAGGGCTGAGCATTCCCCCCTGCTAGCAATGGCGTCTTCTGCACGTCAGCGGAAGCGACTTCGGTAATTAATTAAACAGGCGATGACGGATAGACATTCGACCCTGCGCGCTTCTGGGGTGAGAGCGGCACGATGAAGACCCACGTGGGTTCGATCCTGTTCGGCCGCTACGGTTAAACTTGAAATGCAGGCAGCACAGCAGTGCTTCTGTCACATCGTGGGATGTGGATGGCATTTGCACACTGAATGAGTTTGAAGTCTGCACTGCATCCCACCTCTGAGCCCGTTAGTGTCGCTCATTAGCAGATCATTTCCCTGAGTACGGAGGAATGTGGACATGCGCTCTCACCGTGAGGGCTGTCAGTTACGAGGTCTCCTCTAGAGCCCCCCTAATGCTAAGAACTGAACCTGACCTGGCACCAGCAAAACATCCGACCATATAAATGTGCGAAAACTGTAAAAATGTCCAGTAAAAGACAGCCTGCGTCCAAGTGGGCTATGAAGCCCCCCCCCCTCCCAGTGTTATCTCCCAGTGCTTTTATGTTCTGCCACCGACTGGAGACAGACTGATTTCCATCAGAGTGAAGCAGAGAGGCTCCAGGTACAGATGCGGATCGCCGGGGAGGGGGCGGATGCTGGGGTGGAATAAAGAGCCACCATCGGCTTGTTTCCTTGTGCCCATCGCATCGGCGGCCCACCCTCATCCTCGCCCTGCCCCCCCCAGAGAGCATACTCCATTCTTCATCCTCAATGACCTGTAAAAAACCAAGATGTGCATAAAGAGGTTGTTTACCTCCCCCACACACAGAGGAACACACACACTCACACGCAGACACCAACATACACAAACTCTCTCTCACTTTCTTTTTCATTGCCTGTCTGTGTCTGTCTCTCTCTTTCTCTCTCTCTCACTCTCTCTCACACTTACTCTTTCTTTCACTCTCTCTCTGTCTCTCTCTCACTATTTCTGTCTCTTTCAGACTCTCAGAAGCAACGATGTCCCTGTCACTCTCACAGTCCTTCTCCCTCACTCTTTCTCCCTTACTTTCACTCTTTCTCTCACTCCCTCTGCTTGTCTCTTTTTCACTGTTAAGGATTAATTGTGCATTTGTGTTAATAAAGAAGTTTTTAAAAGTCAAAGTCTCTTTTTCTCTGTCTCACTCTGTCTCCCTCTCTGTCATTCTCTTTTTGCTCTGTTTCTCTTTTGCACTGTCTCGCTCTCTCTAGCTCTCCTTTTCTCTCTCCCCCCTCACTCTCTCTATCTTGTGCTTTCTCTCACTATCTCTCTCTTCCTTGTTGTCTCCCCCCTGCTTTTTCTCTCCCTCACTTGCTTTCTCTCTCGCTCTCTCACTTGTTCTCTCTTTCCCACTCTCTTCCCCGCTTTCTCTTGCTTTCTTTCCCTTTCTCACTCTCTCTCCCTACCTCACTCTCCCTCCCTCTCTCTCTCTCTCTCTCTCTCTCTCTCTCACTCTGTCTCTTGACTCTCTCTCCGTTTCTCTTTTGTGTAGTTACTGAGAACCGATAAGTCACCGACCAGGGCAGTTGCCCCCTTCGGGGGCCCAAATGATGAACCAGTCGCACGCCTGCATTCATTTCGCCGGGTCGCAGTGTCCAGAAGCCCCATCATTGTCCTTTATCTCTGCATGTTTTCTTCCTTCGAGACCTTCAGACCTCCTCGTCTTGGAGTCTTTTCTGTTGTGGAGGGTCTGCCTCTGTGTACCTCAGAGATCCATGCACCTTGCTGCTTCTAGCTGGAGGGGGTCTGGTCACCATCATGGGTGGTGGTGGGAGGGGGGGGTAGCTGCTTCCTTGTCAGCAGAATCGGACCTGAACAGCAGGGTGTGATACTTGTGTCCAGGACATGTGGAGGCATGTGTAGATTCCTTCTGGGGAGGGGGGGGGGTTGTCATTTATAGCAATGACAATTTGGGAGGATTTATAGTACATATTTTTTCCAATCATCGTTGCTTCTGCGGTCATGTGAGAAGCCAGCGGTGGCCACCTTTGCCGGAAGATCACTTTCTGAGAGAGGGGCCTGTCATGTTAGGGGGGCTTCCTGCGTAATGAGACTCGTATTCGCTCTGTCAACAGAGGGAACACCATTTTCCAGCAGCCGGGGTCACACTTGTAGGCAGGGCCGCCGTGTGCAGCTGCGGTAACAGCCTCTGCGCATTTCCCCGCTGGCTCCGAGGCCTTGATTAATCACCTACTGACTGGAATGGCTCACATCTTTTTCACACATTTCAGTGAATTTAACTAGTCAGTGAATTTTCAGTGAGCTGCTTGCAATTTTTTTCTTCAGTGCAGGGAGTGACATCATGCCTGATTGTGACATCACAGTGTGACATCACAGCATCTGATTTCAGAGCCACAAGGTTCCTTAAAACACCCAAAGGGTCGGGTACCTCCTGCGGGGGATTCTGTCACTGTGGCTGCATTGCATGATGGGAATCGGGAATCGGGGAGGTAGCTGAAGGATCCCGAGTGTCCGTAGCATTTTCCCAAGGTCCACGGAGGCGTTATACACGCCCCTGACCTTCCGAAGGCGCGGGCCAAGGAATGCTCGCCTGAACGGCCGCTCTGCTGGACCAACGGCAGCTGTCTCTATGCATGGAGTTCGGGTTTCGCAGTAACACGATCTGTCCTGACAAGCGTCCTCTCCGCTGCCCCCCCCCCGCTGCTCTGATGCCATTAAACTCCTGGCCATAAATCGGCTCTTTGCGGCCCGCCACGCTCCTGCTCCACCATGCCGCGGACCCCAGGATCTTCCCCGCTGACGCTGGAGTCGCGCGCCGGCATGAGGCCACTCGCCTGAAAGCTGCGGACGGCCCCTGCAGCTTGTTTATGTATCTTGGTTGCCGTGGTGACCGCTGGGCCTCCGTAGTGCCTCCCGGGACCCAGGTTCTGGAGCTGGGTGGGGGAGGAGGTGCAGAGGCCCGGGCCATTCGCTGCTGCTGAGTCCCCTCTTAAAAAAAGGTGTTTACGCTTGTGCTGCGAAATTCATGCTTTTGGAATGATTTGTGTCCGATTGTGAAATTCCACAACTTTTACAAGCTCGAGTTACTCGCCGTGGCTCTCTCTCTCTCTCTCTCTCTCTCTCCCTCTCCCCCTGTCTGGTTTTATTGCCCTTGTTTAATCTGGAATGCCTCTCCGCACTTGAAGCCCGGCCAGAGTGAGCAGGCACTATTTCGCTCCAGAGGACGGCTGCCCGCAATCTGCGTGTGTTTTTCTGTTCTGGAGGCGGGGCCTGAGCGCGATCACTTCAGCAGATTTAGCTCTGCTCTCAAAACATTCGGCAGAGAAAAACACTTTTTTTTAATAAACCAATGAAACGGGCAGTCTGGGTCTAGAAGACCTGCCTCTTGCACTCCTGCCTGCGCCTTTCTGAGTTCCCCATCTCGCGTTTGAATATTCCGGCCATTTTCTGAGCTTGATAGCCCCAGCCGCTAACTCCCGTTGACCTGTGGGTGGTGTCCCGCTCTTTGAAGCTGCCCCTTCCCTCGTACGCCATGTCACTTAATTCCCCAGACCCTCAGGGTGTCTCGGGCACCCTAACCCCTGCCAAGGCCAGTACGTCTGCCCCCGCTGCTCTCAAATGGGCACAAAGCTGGCTTGTCTGTAACGGACAATGAGCAGGTTTGTATGCAGGGTTTGAGGGAGGGTGTGATTATACCTGTGTATGGGCAGTGTGACACAGGTGTAGAGTTAAAGGACTTTGGAACATACCATTCTGGGATTACCTCAGGACCAAAAACGTCACCATGGAAACCTTCACCACATGGGATGTGCTGCAAGATTCAGTGAGCCAGCCTTAGGGGCAGGTCTCCTTTGACCGTAACTGGGGCGTGTTCTTAACAGGCTTGTTACCTGGAAGGTCTGTTTCAGGACTTTGATGGATGACTGGTTCACTTCACAAGAGGGTACCATCCACATCAAACCCAGACAGTAATTAGCCCTGGGTGTTGTCCCCAAGTGTGGAGGTCCGTATGTCACATTCATGAGTTTGCACATCAAGCAGATGTGGGCAACGGTTCCTACGCAGAGGGTCCACAGAGCTTTCACCATATTTTTTCCTGGGTTAGTGCTTGAGCATGGGTTGGGGTCACAGATCTTCTCCTCGATGCTCCTGTACTCCCCAATGGTGTTGAGGGATGTTCTCTATGTGCTACTCACGATGTTTTCTTTGTGGGTCCACATCCATAAATGAAAGCAAAATATTATGGAAAGAGCAAAACATAGCAGACCTCTGTCTCCTGGTCCCTGCAGTGGGGATAGAGCCGTCGTGATTGGGTTACGGGGGGGTCGACGTGAATTGGGATAATTTGACGGGAATCCTGATGGATTGGAGCGGCGGGGGGCAGGTCAGCTCACACACAGGAAGTGCCTAATGCGATTAGCCTTGGAGCCGGGTGAACGTTCGGCCACGGGGGCCGGGCAGACATGGGGGGGGGGGGGGTGTGTGGCCGCCACCTAGCATCACCCCTGCTGTTCCTCATCTCATCTTATGCCACTTAAGTCAGTTTCCCAGGGGAGGGGTCCTGTGTTTTTCTTCCCAGCCAGCTGACCCCTGAAAAATAAAAACTCAACTCAGAAAGCCGGAAATGATATTTATTGCAGCTGATGGAGCCGCAGCCTTCTTCAGGGGGGGAGCGAGGGTTGGTTTTGGTGTCGATCGAGGTTCACGGAGGGCCGCCTGCTGCTTCCAAACCCCCCCTATTTGGGGGTCACCCCCTCACACCCTTCTTTTTGTTTGTGGGCACTGTAATGGGTTATGCAGGCATCCGTCGTATTTGTGAAGCTGTTGAAATGAAAATAATGTTGCCGTTGAACTGTGCACTGCCTTCTGGGAACGCAGCCCGCGGTGCCAGATGAATTCGTAACAAAAACTGTCCCCTTGCAGGTGACCCTTCATCTGAAGCCCATACAGTCCTTGAAGGTCCACCAGAGACCCCTGGCTTTTGTGCTGAACTCACCGCAGCCCGTCCTCTGGAAGCTGGAGATGGAGAAGCTGGCGCCGAGCGTCCGGCGCGTTTTCCACGTAAGTCTGCAGCTGCCCCCCAGCCTCTCACTGGCTCCTGTCTGTCCATCTGTGGCAGTTTCACACAACCACCAAACTTAATACAGGCATCTAATACAGTAATACTGAAATACAGTACAGTAACATAGTAATCCCTTGCACAAACCCTTACGTCAGTTATGTGCCGGATTTGTCCAGATCTTATAGCAAAAAACCATAAACCAAATGCATATATACTTAATTGCATATATACTAAATTAACAGATAAAGTGCACAAGTACATACTGTATGTATGTTACCTTTTGTATCAGCTTATATTAACCTCCATGTATGGCAGATATTTTTTGCATATATTTGGATTTACTTTTGGATTTAAGTCGGTCTTATGTATGCCGAGAGCTGCCTGTAGTCTGATACAGCAATCAAGCACATGTCAGCATGGCAGCTTAACACAGCAGCTGAATGTAACAGCCAAACATATTATTATTATGTTCCTGTGTTTGGTGCTGTGTTTGGTGTGTTTTGGTACAGTGGTTTGGTGCTTGTGTTTTGGTACCGTGTTTTAGCGTTGCGTTTTGGTGCGGTGGTTTGGTGCTTCTCTTGGTGCCGTGTTTTGGTGCTTCTGTTTGGTGCCGTGTTTTGGTGCTTCTGTTTGGTGCTTGGTTGTGCTTCGTCTGTCCCCTGTAGGAACTTTATTGTGTTCCACAACGTTCTCAGTTTCGCATTAAAACACAGCCATGTGCTATTTTCGTTGCCGAGTGATGTTTCTCATTTCCCTGAGAAATGGTGCTTAAAATCGAACAGTGATCCGCATCCCATAATACTGTCACTGCCTCAGCCTCAAGGTATAGGACTACGGCTGTCATTCATTGGGTTTCGCTGCTGTTACTAGGCAATGATGCAATGCAAAAAAAAAAATAGCTAATGACCAGCGCTGAAATACTTGAGCTTCAGTTATTTTGGGGGTGGGAGGCGACCGGACGGCTCACCGAAAAGTTCTGGCGGACACCGTGCAGATCCAAAGCAGGATCACAATGTTAGACACTGACTCAGTGCCTTTAAACGAGGCCTTTGGGTCTTAATGCTCTGACTCAGGGTTCCGTGGCGCTGTCCGTAACTCAGTGTTCATCATTTCCAATCTCCGCTCGTTTGCTTAGGGCTTTTTTCTTATTTGCTGTAGGCAGGACTTTTGTCGCTAGCCTGTTAGTGTCCGTCCACACTTGGGTGGCACATTTGTGAATGTGGTGCTTTGAGAATTGTGGGTATTTTGGACCTGGCACCCCGTCTAGGGCACACCCATGCCATGTGCCCTGCGCCATCTTGGACAGGCTCCAGGCTCCTTCCAACCTTGTCAGTGATAAGCAGCTGGAAGATAGAGGGATGGGTTTTCCGGAACATTCTGTTTGTTGTCTGTTAAAAAGGTCAGGATGGGTTAATGATGTCCCAGATTGCCCCTCCTGAACTTGGAGTTTGAATGAGGACATGGGGGGGGCACGGGACCCACTCCTTCCCTTACTAGTATTTCCTGAAAACCAGTAGCTTCTACCATGTGAGCTGGATTGGGAAGGGGTGAGAGCGGCTTTGAGAGCACTTTCCAATATACCTGTTCTTGTATAAATGGCAGATAAAGCAACATTTCATCTAGGATGGGCTGTTTGTGGCTCAGTCAGTTAGGACCCTGTGCCTGTTGTCAGAAAGTTGTCGGTTCCAGTCTCAGAGTCGGCAGAGTGATGTCACCATTGGGCCCCTGAACGAGGCCCTCCAGTCTTGCTGTCTCAAAAAAATGTATGTCGCTTTCAAACAGAAATGTCCCCTACAAAAATGTCTAAAATCTGAGTGTGATACTTGGAGGGAGCAGGGAAGCATAGCGTGTGTGCAGAATGGCGGTCGGAGGTCCTCCAGGCCCCCGGCGGGCCTTCAGTCAGACGGTCGTGCGTCTAAACCTCCTTCTCACATCCTGCAGCAAGATTATAGGCAAGCGGCAGGCATTGCAGTGTGACCTGGCACACTCACGCACATGCAAAGCTGCGTGCACTGTTGTCACAGCAGGAAGCTACACTGTAACACCCCAAAAGTGTGGCTTCGTCCCCACTTGCATTGGGGGTGATGTCAGGGTCACACGTGGCCGTGGGAGCGTGCTCAGGTGGAAAATTCACAGCTCATGCTGAGAGGCCAGCCAGCTGCACACGGCGCGGCTGAAAGAGGCCCAAACATACAGAGAGAGTGATGCTCCCTCACCAGATGGAAGCAGGAAGTGGGCTGAGCTCCTTACTGGTGCGGCTGCCTCATATTTGCCGGGTTACGGGAAGGACGCTCCAGCTGCAGCCGAATGCTTCTCGTGCAATGCAGTGCCTTTCATGTGACCTGTGGCTTCTTATCGTCACGCCAGGAGGACGTCAGATCACGACCCCTGGTTTTGATAGGTGAGTCCTGTCATCACGTGGTTTCACCTTTGCATCATGCAGTATGACGTGACAGGTGCGGTCATCCAGAGCAACAAGCTGAAACACTGAGGTCACCCGCAGGGGGGGGGGGGGGGGCGGGCTGGGCTTTCCACAGTATGAGGAAACATACCCTAACCACCCCGGTCTGACTGGACTCTGATCCAGTGTGTGTCAACTGCATCCACAATGTGCACTCGACACATTTACCATAGACACAATAGATCACAGTTAACCTTACAGAGGGGGCAAATTCCAAAAGAATATAAAACTAGTTCTTACTATTAGAATCTTTTCTTCTGTGTTTTACTGGCATGAAACTCGTATGGTTCGTAGCATCCATTTTATGTAGGAAACAGACCACGTGCATCCCAGAAAATATACAACGTTAAAGAGAAAAATTAAAAAAAATTCCAAAACATTTAGACTTAGTCTTATCATTCAGTTTTAACCAATCACCAGCTCACAAAATAAATAAACGACCAATAAAATCACTTTCAAAAATAGTAATTTGACAAAAAAAAAACTGATGGCCAATAGGGGCCCGCTGATCACTCTGGGTCCCCAAGAAGCAGTCTAGTCAAACCTGCTGATTAATTTAATTGGCAGATGCTTTTTTTCAATGTACATTTTTTTGAGATAGTAGGGCAATTCAGGGTGCCGACCCTGGCATTTGACCTTCCGATCACGGACACAGTGTCCCAGCAGACTGAGCTCCACAGCGCCTCCCACTGACCATCTAAGCCTTGCTTATTGTTACTGGCAGAAAAACTCAGAAGTGAGACTTCATTTCTGGCAGCAGTAGTGAAGCAACAGGTGTGGCGGGGGGGTTGGCCGGTGCCCTGGCTCGAACCACACTCCCCAGATAGCTGATAGACGCCCCGTTATGGTGCTGTTTGTGTGGGTCACCCGAGTATTTATCTGGAAATCAGTGAGCTCCTTTTGCAGCATGCAACTTCCTGTAAACAGGCCCAGATGGGAACTGGGTTGTGAAAGCTGTGCTGGGTTCGCGTCCCGGACGGCTGCAGTGCTCCTCATGCGCTACACCCACAAACGCATGTGCGCACACACATGCAGCCACCACATAGCTGAAGTCCTGACGGAACCAGGCACAGAGTCGCTTTGCTTTGCAGGTAATGTCGTCCCGTGATGTCACGGTGTCACGCCCCTGTCCCCTGACCTGCTGCCCTCGGTCACGGTGTCACGAGAATGCTGCGTGCTAATTGGTCGGTTGGCGAGAAGAAAGGCGCCGTCAGTCAAGCACAGATACCAGGGTGGAGCTCGACCAAAAACAGTGACACTTAATTACTCTCTTCCATTTTGGGCTTCAAGCTAACATCTAGTGCGCTGGGCCTTGTTTTGCGGTGACTGCCTTTTTGAGTGTTTTAAGCTCACGAGTGGATTACTGCTCCCAGCATTACTGGTCCCAGCAGCGGCCATTAAACCTCCACCACTGTCTGTGTTGATGAGCTAGATCATTTATCAGCGTGGTGAAGATGGTTCGGCTCAGTTCCTTGGGAGGCCAAAACACGTACGACGTAAAGAGGATCTGTTTAAGGATGCTAGCGGTTTAGCGTTAACGTTCTGTAGCAGTTATATAAGGCAGGCATTTTGGTGATAAAAGCCAAAACTAAATATAATTTCACAGACATTATAAGAGGCAGATGCAAGCCTCTCTTCCAGCCTGGCTTCAGTACAGCTGTGTCTCCTCCGGGCAGATTAACTAAAGAGCACGTTTTTAATGCGAAACTGCTTTAACTGCAATAAAGCGATTCAATTTTCAGGCAGTCGGATTTCTTTTCTCTTCTGCCAAACGTATGATTTTGTGTTGTTTACTGATCAGCCTGATTGTGCACACTGTGAATTGTGTATTTTAATAGTAGGACTCACGTACACAGTCCCACTGAAGCACCGGTGTGTGAGAGGGAGCCTCGACGAGGACGGGAGGTGCGTCGGATAGCGGCGTAACATCCCCAGCAGCGCCGCGGTACTCGGGGTGGGGTGGGCGTGGCGTTCCCCGAGTTCACGCTGACTGGCGGGAATGAGAGCCAGCTGCTCGTTTCTGGCCTGTTTTTGTGGAAATCAAGATGCATCTCCAAGTGACCATATTTAGTTTGCTTTACAACGACGGGCTCAGGGGTTTATCACGCTGCGATCCCCCCCCCCCCCCCCCCCGGCTCCGGCGCGGATGAGGGGTAACGGCGTGTTCCTGGCTCTCGCTGCGCTGGCTCTGCTCCCGCTTAAATCGGTCACACATTAGTTCATATCTCAGAACGAGGCCGCAACGGACCCCTTCTGGCCCGCGAGCCGCCGGGGTGAAAGTAAACAGGCGTTTGTTTATGTGGGGCGGAGACAGTTCTAGGTCAGAGGGTTTCAGAGTGTGGGGGGGCTTGTAATTAGCAAGGGCACTAATTGTACCTTTAGGAGGAGGGCAGTAAAACTGCTTTTATGGCCTGTTGCTGTGACAGGAGGGGCAGTCGCTGAATACGTATGTGCTGCCCCCCCCCCCAATAAGACTGTAAAGGCCAGCTGAGATTTTTCCTCAGGACCTGATAATCTCTGAGTCGTCAGCTAAATCAGGGTGGAGCCTCTCTCTGTTTGAACCTGCGATGTTCCTATGCAGGTGAGCAGCCAGGCCTCGCAAGGGTCGGCTGTTGTACCCTAACGTTCAGTCTGAACATTGTGCTCTGAGACGGCCTGCAGTAAACGGCGCTGGAGACGAGCGCTTCGCCAGAGCCCCCGCAGGCCTGCAGCGGTGAGCTGGCCCCGCCGAGTGCCAGGTCGTTTCCCAGAGGCGCTGTTCCTTAGGCTCTGACCGCTGCATCTCCGTCTTCGGCTCTCGGCAGACGCGCATCACGCTAAAACAATTCCCTCTCGCCGGCAAGCTGGCCGACGCAGCCAAGGTATTCCTGTTAAAGTGACCTCATTTCCAGGTTTTGAGCCCTATGCTCACCCCCACCCCCCAAAAACTATGGCCTATTTGCGGCCTGACGCTTTCTTTGTCGCCTTGATGAGGTCCAGTGTACCCCGAGGACCAGGCCCGTCAGATGATGCAGCCTGATGCCTTTGAATTGATAATATTTTAAGATTCTGAATCAGGATGATTTTATTGGGCAGGTATCGACACGCAAGGGATTCGTCTTGGTGGATGTGCCCCTGTGTATCATGTAACATGCGAGACAATTTTCCGACAAGTGCGTGCACATGAAATTTCACGCATAATTTTAACCCTGAACGGTCTGCCGACAGTCAGAATCGGCATGGTGTGGAAAATAAAAGGCTGAGCTAAACAGATAGATGAATCGTGAATGTGAGTGGACAGGCGACACTGGGAAGGATTACAGTTACAGCCAGAAGAAGTGCAGAGTGTCTGCTGTTAGTGCAGCAGTTACACTGAGCTCTGAACATGAGCTGCCTTGGCATGGAGGCCGCCTTCAGTGTCTCCGGGGGGGGGGGGACAGCGTCCCGGCACTGGGAGGCGACACCCCCAGCCCCTCCTTCCTTTTTCCATACTTTAATCCATGCCAGGGAACGCTCCACGCAAACCTGCATTTTTATTGTTCCCATTTTTTAAATTTTATTTTACCTTTCGTAAAGAACATCAGCGAGACAGCCAGAGGTCAAGCAGATGTTCGGCACCGCGGCAGATTATGATCGCAGGCGAACGAGAACGCCGCGCAACGTAGCGGTACGCCGCTGGGGCGATGCGCCCCTGTCCTCTTTTCCGGTCACCATGTGTTTTTCTCGGAAAGCTTGGAAGTGTTCGAACGGCACCTGTTGGCGTAGTGAATCGAACCCGGAGTTTGACCGTAATGAATCTCGTTAAAGGCGCTGAGCTGACAGCGATTCTCGAAGCGTGATTTCAGCATGCGGATGTTACCTGTGTGCCGGGATCTCATGGATCCGTTTGGAAATGGAATATCAGTCTGAGGTCCATGCCGTGTCGGCCAGTCAGCGTGCTGAACCAGAGCGTAACACACTTATTAAGACCCACCCCCGGTAACCGTAACACAGCGCATTAGGGCCCCTTTTCCTCCCGTATGGTTCGCATTGAACATTCTTGCTTTGTGAGGCAAGGACTGCATTTTGTTTTTCAGCCTGCTTATTTGGTTCAACAATAATTATCAGTTAATGATTTGGTCGCTGGCATGGAGCGGGGGTGGAGGGGGCTCTTATGATGTGGCAAAAACCAGGCGTGCGGCTGGGGGAGTCGGCGTCACCGTGTCGCAGAGTAAGGAGGCCCGCGACTCAACGTGATCGTCTCTGCAGGCCAGCTGCAGGCCCCTACCAGTAGGAGGCACTGTCAGTGGGTCCCGGCTAGGGGGCGGGTAGCTCCAAGAGTTACAGCTGGATTCCACATGACGCACGGGAGCGCGTTATATAAACTGGTGAAACCTGACACTGCATTGTGCAAGCCAGGCGTGTGTGAGAGAGCGGCTTGGTCTCAGCCTCGAGCCGCTGGTCACGGATCCTGCAGAAACATCTCACTCTTAATGTTTACATTTTTTTACCTAAGGAGTCCAGCACCCTGCTGCTCCCTCCGACTGTGTCAGATTTCAGCATTTAATCTTCCTGTTTACCTTTGAAACTGGGCTGTCGTGCTCTGGTCACAGGTGGGCCATAATTGCAAGCAGGTTGAAATTTCAACTTAGCACTTAAACACTTAATCAAACTTATTAAAGTGCATATTGAACTCATTTCCTGCCGCTTTTTCAACTGAATCTATCAGCTGTAAAAAAAAGGCACATGCACAATAAATCAGAATGCTGCTCTTACAGTATATGTTTTCATGCTCTGTATTCAGTGATTCATCCATATAGACTGTTGTGAGGTTTTTCTGCCTGAAACCTCGGTTGCGTGAGCCGTCCGACTCCCTGAAACACATCCTGCCTAGGATGACCAGATAATCCATGTCAGGGAGGACACTCTGAGCCAGGACAGGAATTGTAAATTACCATTTCAATTAGATGGACTTGGATTTCACTTGAGCACTGAGTTTTTGCTGTGTGCTGATTGGTCAGTCTCCTATAATCATGCATATGTCACTAATGCTAATGTGAAACAGCTGGATGAGTCTTTCAGTCAAGGAAACAAACCAGTCAAAGCACAGGAAGAGCTGAACTATTTAGCTGAGCACAGGAGCCTTTCAATTCGAAAGTAGTTTGTAAAACCCGAAGTAGCTGAAAGTGTCTCCCTGACATGGATTATCTGGTCACCCTAAGCCTGCTTTCTTCTCCGCTTCTTTCTGAAGAACTGCTCAGCTGAAAATATCATTTTAGTTCATCTTGCAGAGCGACAGGCTGTCAGTTTTTCTCCCTAATGAGGGGGCGCTGCCTGGGGGGTGAGGGGGCGCTGCCTGGGAGGTGATGGGGCGCTGCCTGGGGGGTGAGGGGGCTTGGTGACAGGGTCCTCAGTGCTTCCTGGAGAGCGACAGGCTGTCAGTTTTTCTCCCTAATGAGGGGGCGCTGCCTGGGGGGTGAGGGGGCGCTGCCTGGGGGGTGATAGGGCGCTGCCTGGGGGGTGAGGGGGCTTGGTGACAGGGTCCTCAGTGCTTCCTGGACGTACGGTGCTCCCCTTTCCCCTTGAGCCTGTCTCTCTCTGGTTTCACCACTAGAGGTCCTCGGTGGGGTCAGCGCCTTCTGGCCTGGGGGCTGATTAACAGCACATTAGATAAAAATGGCCCTCTCTTGCCAGGGGGGGGGGGGGGGTTCTGGTTCTGGTCCTGTGCCCACCCGAACGGCACCCTCCATCACGGCCTCCTCATTCGTCTCCCCCCAGGTATCCAGGGGCTCCGATATGGAGATGGGACATTTGTGGGACTCCTGTGAGGTTGAGAAGGAGGAGCTCCCTCATGCCAACGAGCGCCTGCTGGCCTGGGCCAACGAGAAGTTCAAGGCTGTCACCTCCTTCTCCGAGCTCCGCATCACCAGGAATGTGTACATCAATGTGGGAGAAGGTAGGTGGATCTAGGCACCAGGGAGGCCAGGAGCATCCGGCTATGCTCAGGCCCTCGCTCACAAACCCAGGACCCTACGACGGTCCACGGTCAGGATGGTGGCCGGAAGGCCAGGAGATGCCATGGTCAGCTGTGTGAGTGGTCAGCATTCCGCTCACGTGATTCCGAATCCATGAGGAATTCTTGCTGGATGGTTTGCCTGCTTGTCACGGTCTCCTCTGACCTGGGTCCACGTGCGCTGGAGTGTGGGTTGGGGGGAAGGGGGATGAGGAGGGGAATTACGGTAACGTACTTTTAGAGACTGACAAAAATGGAGCGAGCAGCTGCCCCGATGCCTGGCTGCAAGCCAGCCATATTGTTTATAGTGTTATTGCAGATTTGTGGAAGGTGGGTAGGATGAGGGGGAGAGCAGGCGAGTGAGAGAGTGAGAGACAGAGAGTGAGAGACAGAGAGCGAGAGAGACGGAGAGAGAGAGAGAGAGAGAGAGAGAGAGAGCGAGACAGAGAGAGAGGGAGGTAGCTGGCAGGGGATGACTGAGCAGATGTTTGGACTTTACAGGCCAGACATGGAAAATACAGCATTATTGGAATATGACAAATTCAAACAACAGCTTTGCTCAATCTAGACCTGCGGTTTAGACTCATTTATGCTTAAAGTCAATAAGTAAATAAGAGAGACGAGGGAAGGGTGTTTTTAAAAGCCTATTTTGTAGTACAGAAATCCTCTGCTTGCCAACTACCCCCCAGCCCTCCCTCCCCCGTTTTTCTGAAGTACTCCAAGGGGTGCTAGAAGGGTAGGATGTGGATCCGTAACAATGCAGGGTGGAAACATGCTGCTGACAGTGAGCAGAATGGGCGCACTAAGCAGAGTGAGCCATGTGAGCAGAGTGGACGGGGTGGGCGGAGTGAGCAGAGTGGACTGGGTGGCCGGAGTGAGCAGAGTGAGCCATGTGAGCAGAGTGGACGGTGTGGGTGGCGTGGGTGGAGTGAGTGGGGTGTGCAGAGCGGATAGGTTAGGCGGAGTGAGCAGAGTGAGCAGAGTGGAGTGGGCGGGGAGGATCCGGCAGACCTGCTGATTGCTGGGAAAGGTGCCGTATCACTCCGCTTGCCTGGTTAAGGACCACGAGTCACACCTCCTTTTTTCCACCAGGTCCTGGCCATCCGGAAAAACATCCATATTAACAAGCATCTTTATTAATGGAGTCTTTGCTCTCTGTCTTGGTAGTTTATAGAAGATAAGGACTTTATCTGCACTCAGTGAAATGGGAAATGGATCTCCCTTTATGTGCTGCCTCACGCTGAAATCCTTAACCTCTGACCTCAGGAAGGGAGGGTAACATTAACTCTGCTGTAGTGTCAGCCCCTCCGCACCCCCAGGCCGATCGCAAACCCCCCTTGGGCCATGGAATCTGTGCCTGTGTTTCTCTGTCTCTCTCTTTCCTGCCTCATCTCCCTTTGTCTTTCTCTGACACATCTTCTCTCTCTCTCTCTCTCTCTCCCCCTCTCTCTCGCGGAGGTACGGACCAAGTCCATGCTGTTGCCCATGAGAGTAGCCCAGGGCCGGCTTAGGATGGGTGCCAGTCTATAAGAGCCTGCACAGCCCTCCCCCACCCCCCCCGGCTCCCCCCCGGACACCTCCTAATAAGGCAGCACCGGTTTTCCATTTGCCCCGGTGCAGGGAGGGGGTCTTTGGCGCTGACGCTCGGCAGAAGAACAGAGAGGCCCGTCCTGGAAGCCTAACACTGAAAACAATAGGGAGTGCGGGGGCCAGGCGGCGTGCGTCTGCATGCTGGGCCCCGCGGGGGCCACCAGGCCGTCTGCTTCGCCTTCTGCTTTTCGCTGCAGATGAGAAGCTGCCCAACGCTGCAAGTTTGGTCCCTCATCCACAGCATGTCCTGCCTGGGAGGACCAGCACCTGCGTTTATGCTAACATGCTGAAGCGTTTCACAGGCCGGTGGCTCTGTGTCTGTAGTCAGCTATTAGCCGCCAACCCATCCGCCAGCACACCCCCGTAATGCCCCCCCCCCTTTGTCCTGCAGACCTCACCTTCTCCAGCACCTGCAAGATTGACAACAACTTCCTGTCCCTGAACTACCTGGCGGGCTATGAGGACCCGCAGCCGTCTCGGGGCTGCGTCCTGTCGGGTCGGAACCACAACCGCGAGGTCCACATCATCGAGCTGCAGGCCCCCAACTCCAGCAGGTAAGGAGTAGTGTCCCTGCTCCCCCCTCCCCCTTGAATGTGGTGTGGGCCGGTCAGCAGGTTCCAGCCATGCCTCCACCAGTCCACCCCCCCCCCTTGAACGTGGCAGTGCAAATCTGAAGCACCACCCACCAAACATACACATGGTTGGACTCTTCATCATCTTACCCGACACCAACAACAGCCTATGCATCCATGTCCAGGTTTCCTTGGCAATGTTGAGCTTCGTTTAATAATTCATCAGTCTGGGTCCCACCTACGTCAAGAATCTTTGTCGGATCAATTGTGAGTTATTTTCGGTGTATGGCGTACTTCAGTGTGTTAGTGAGTGTGGAGTTGAGGTGAAGAACCATTACCTGAGAGGACCTAAGTGGAAACGCGGCCCGGCTCTTGGCTCTCGGGTACTTGCGCTTCCGCTGGATCAGTCTGGGGGGACGGGAAGCGTAAATATAACGCCGCCTGTGTTTGGAAGCACGCTGGGCCTGTTTTGACAAACTGCTGGTAGCGTATGACAACGCGCCGCGGGCGGGGAGCCACTGCCAGCACCGAATCGGCAAATTTGGGAATTGGACGTGGTTTTAAAGGGCAGCTGGCGATCGATGGCGGCGAGGACGACACTCACCGTAAGCAGCTGTGATTCCGCACTAACGGGAATATGTGTTTGTTAAAAAGCGCATAATAAAGCTGATTCCTCATTAAGAAGAATGATCAGCTCACGGTTCTGTGACTCTGCCTGGGATTATTACTCTATAAGAGAACAATAAACAGGTCACACTTTGCTTAATATTTTTAGTTAAATTGAACGTCACTGCACAGACGCGTTTTGGCGTGATGCCGTCCTCAGTCTGTGTGGTGACGTCCCTGTTTTTGTTATCTTACATTGATTGCTCGTTGTGGTCAGCACTCAAACTTTATGTTCATAGATGCGAAGCCCATCTTTTTCTGTACTCTGGGGTTATTACTTTGTAAGAGTTTTAAGAGATATTTGGAAATATCTTCTTTTTACAACGGTAAACTTGGAAAACAGGCCTGCTTGCCAGAGGCACGGTTAACAGTGAACGGGGCTGTCCTCAGCCTGCATGCGTTTGCTGACAGCACCCTGACCCCCAGTGTGTTTGCCTGAGCGCTGTGTACGCGCCTCATTTTGGGGGTGTGTCTGTACCGACAGCGTCTGCGTGGCTTTTTGTGTGACTCTGCATTTCCAGTTACACAGCTACACCATAAAAAGCCGGTGTTTTTTTAGGGCTGATATTCATTCACAAAGAAAAGTGGTTTTAAGCCGCCCGATTGGTTGAAATTTACTGTGCGGGGCTGAGAACAGCGACGGCATTGGGTAACGGGGGCGTCGGTAACGGCAGGCTGTCCCGCCCCCCTGATGTGTCAGAGGCCTCTCATGCCTGAGGGTTTGATAATCATTTAAGAATCCTGCAGCGCCATGATCCAGTGGAATCCCCAAAGGGCCCTCGTACGGAGGAGCGCGGCCAGGGTAACGGCGCTCCACACACGTCCTGCTCTTCTGGGAGAGCCGCCAGGGTCTTAGTCAGTTGGCCAGACACAGGAGACGTGATAATATGGATAGAGTGTGATAAATCCCCGGCCGTTCTGGCCCTTCAGGGACCTATGTGGTTTATGGCCGCTCTCTTTCGCTGTTTCCATGGCAGCGCGTTCCAGGTGGACGTGATCGTGGAAGTCAGGCCCCTGGCCCCGCATCGCCCCCTGCAGCGAGACCTCGTCCTCCTGCTCAAGTGTGAGAAGTCAGTCAACTGGGTCATCAAGAGCCATGGCGTCACCGGCACCCTGGACATCGTGGTATGTGCTGTGGCCCACCCTCAACCCCCCACCCCGCCGAATGCCCCCACCCAACGTGATATAACTGCACCAGCTGTTACACCCCTGGGGGTATCACCCCCCACAGAGTCAAGGTCTTGCTCTCACTCTGGGAGCCCCATCCTGTCACCACACGTGTCAGTCTGTCACTGTGAGTGGCGAAAGAGCGCCAGCCCCCGCAGACACCGGTGTGGACCCGAGCCATCCAATCAGCATCTAGTCAGGCTGTTCTCCTCAGCCCAACCCGTTAGTCTCTGGCCGCCCCGGATCCCGCAGTTTTCCTGGGATTTCCGTAGTGAGGCATCGGCTCCGGGCTCACAGATCGCCACCCCCATGCCCCCACGCCCCCATACCCCATGCCCCCATACCCCCACGCCCCCATGCCCCCATGCCCCCATGCCCCCATGCCCCTGTCCTTTATCCATGTCAGAACCTCATCATTTATTTTTTTCCAGTTATTGCTACTAACTGCAAAAATATCAGTGTGGAATTTCACTCATAAATCAGTGGTGATTAATAAACATTATTGTAACGCACAGCCATAGCATGAAGGGGACCCTGACGGTCGTGCCGTCTTGGGGGGTGGCCAGCCTTCAGCTCCTTGCTGCCTGGGATAGGCTCCAGCCCCCCCCCCCCCCAACCCTGACCAGGATAAACAGTTTGATGGATGGACATTGATGCGACTTGGCTGTGGAAGGAATAGTATGAGAATGTCAGAGTGGAGAAACGACACCTGTGAAATGTATGTGACGTACAGCACCAGTCAAAAGTCTGGGTACGCCAAGCTGCCTACAAAAGAAAGTGAAGATTGCCGCGTCACATGACCTGGCGACCTGACCCAGACCCATCAGAGATGGGTTTGGAGGAGTTTGAAGGCAAAGCAGCCAATCAGTGCTCAGCATATGTGGGACCTCCTTCAGGACAGCTGGGAAAGCATCCCAGGAGGCACCTCATGGATCTGGCGTAGAGGAGACTGTAGGGGCAGCCAGTCCCTGGGGCAGTTGGGGTTAAGGGCCTTGCTTAAGGGCCCAGTGGTGGGATCACTCTGCTGACCGCGGGTTTTGAACCGGCAACCTTCCAAGTCCCAACTCGCAGAACTGTTTTTTTTTTTTTTTTTTTACAGTTTCAATGTATTTATAATTATATAAACCTTTCAATGGGTAGGTGTGCACAAACTTTTGACTGGTACTGTAAATCTAATGACAAAATTTACACACTAAGAAAAATGGCTTTAGCTTTATGGCAGGCAGGGGGCGCTGATGAGCACGCCCGCGCGAGGTCCCCTTTAGCCTTTAGCCTTTAGCCTTTAGCCTCAGCCTGGCTCTTCTGCATCGCTCCGCCCAGGACGGCACACAGTGGCCTCCTTCCTGGGAACATCGGGACATTGCCGCAATTTTGAGTTTTTCAAACAGGTGTTTTAATCTGCCAGGACGGATATCTGTGCCCATACGCATGTGTGAACGGGCATGTTATAGACACACGTGATACCGGTACATTGGTGTGTGTATGTGTATGTGTGTGTGTGTGTGTGTGTGTGTGTGTGTGTATGTGGTGTGTGTGTGTACTGTATGTGGTATGTGTGTATGTGTGTGTGTATGTGGTGTGTGTGTATGTGTGTATGTGGTGTGTGTGTGGTGTGTGTGTGTATGTGTGTGTGTGTGTATGTGGTGTGTGTGTGTGTGTGTTTGTGGTGTGTGTGTATGTGGTGTGTGTGTGTATGTGGTGTGTGTGTGTGAACAGCCTGGGTGCAGCAGGGAATGTGGGATATGCGTGTGATATGATAGCCTCGTAAAATCAAAGCCCCGCTACCGTTGGTGGATTGGAGGGGGCTCAACCCAGGTCCGTGGGAAACCACTGTGGGAAGGGATTAGCGTCCACTTCCATTAACAAGCCAAGCAACTGGGGAACGAATGCGGAATTTGGGGGAAACCAGACACATCCGCGTGGGACCGTGGATCCCGGGAAGGACCCCAATCAAAGAGGGACTCTCGCCATGGCGACCCGAGTAATAAGGGCGGGTGATTAACGAGCAGCCGGAGCGTTATCCAGTTGGCTTATCTGCGAAGTCAGCGCTTCCAGGGGCAGATAGGGCACAGGAAGTGATGCGACTGCATTTGCCACTCGGCACGGAGCCTGGCCTTCCTTCTCTGTCCAGCGGGGAGGAGGGAAGGAGCCTCTGTCTGATCTGAAGATGACAATGTCCGTATGGTATAACAGAGCCTGACTTGGCTCTCAGACGTGCGCTAATCACTGGCATTGATGGGTGGGGGGGCTGACTTCCTGTCCTGATAAAGAATCCTCACTCCTTCCTGATTTGTGTGTAGCCGTTTTACAACAGCCACGATAATGGAACATGAGGGTGCCTCTCGAACCTCGTACCAGTGGCTCTTGTTTGGATTCCTGTGACCCCAGGATATCTTACTGCACTTCTAATACATTTTTCAGGCAGCATTTATGATCCACCACCAAAAAGAGCTTCTACAATCCCAGGTCACACACAAACCTTCAGAGCCCACTAGGCGTTTTACGAATTCCTAAATGTTTACCCACGTGTCATGCAGACGTCGGACAGCGTCAATCTGGACCCAGCCGTGGACAAGAGCACAGCGAAGATCCACAAACACCACCTCCCTTCAGATCCTCAGGCACTGATCCGGTGGGCTGAAGACCACCGCTACAGCCCGGTGACCTCCTTCACCAGCACGCCTGTGGCTAATCACTTCAACTTGCATCTGAAGGAGCCAGGTAGGGGACTGGTGTCACTCAAACGCCTAGCCGCCCAAGAGGTGGGGAATGTTGGGGATTGGTGCAGCTGTCTGTCACTCAAACGCCTAGCCGCCCAAGAGGTGGGGAATGTTGGGGATTGGTGCAGCTGTCTGTCACTCAAACGCCTAGCCGCCCAAGAGGGGGGGAATGTTGG